ATTAGAATTTTGTTCGTACGTTTATGAAACAATATTACATCTATCTAAGAAAGTACACATTCAAGAAAAACACTACCCACTGTGACAAGGAAATTTCGCACATTTCCACCAGTACGTGAGCGTAGTTTTACGCCGCTATTAATAATATTCCAGCAATATTATATACAGTACATCTTGCGCCAGATATGTTTTTCATACCTTGAACCCGTTTCCATCAGTAAATCATAACTTAATGGTGAATCTTATAACAAATTGTGGTCATTTTGGGTGTTCAGACAACTCGGCACGTGACTATTGTGGCAGCCATTTTGAACTGAAGTGAACTGACGTTTGATTTGTTTGTCGTTCAACGTCGCACTCAGCAATATTTCAGCTACAGCACAGCAATTTGTAAATAATCCTGTCTGGACCAGACACTCCACATCGTAGCATTATTAGCATCGATCTTTGCTGCTGTGATGCGTCGAATTTCATACTTTGACCCGCATCAACCAAGTCAGTGAGCTTAACCACCCGATCCCGTTAGTCGCCTCAAACATCAAGAATAGGTTGATCATGATCTAACCACTGATCTTCATGGGTCTTTTAACTGACGAATAATAGAAGTTCGGGGCTGTAGTTATTCTGAATACATTTCAATGAATTGCCACTTACTGAAAAGCTATTTCAAACAATCTGGCATTTATTGAAACCCAAAATAGTTCCTTTACCTGGCTTTGTCTAAGCAGTGATAATATGAAACACCATGCAACGTAATTAAATATATATCTATGGGTGGTTATTGTAGCAATAAATTGAAATGTAACTAAGTATATAGTAGCGTTCCTAGTATGGTGATCTACCTTCAGTGGTTGGCGATCTATAGCCCGTGTTTTATATTGTATTGTATGCTTTAATTAAAATGTTTTAGTTTTCTATGCTAGTTCTATATCCATATCCGTCGATGACTGGTTATTTACCTACTTGTATATATTGTGTATGTTCACCATTTCTCGTCACTATATGGCTGAAACATTGCAGAGGTGACGTTAAATTGTAACTCACTCAATAAGTATATAGTAGCCATAATTTGGAACAAGTAAAATAAATGTAAGTATGTGAGGAATTGACATCAACTTTGCCTCTATACAAATAACAGGGACAAACATGGATTTTAAGAAAGCACCATTTACCAAAGCGCTCTTGTCATGGTAAAATGGAGAAAAATCAGATTGTTATAAAAATCGAGGTAATCTAACAAAAGATCGGATATCCTGAAGCGTCTAGTTCGAAATCAACATCTAAAGTAATGTATCTACAGTTGGACTTCGTGAAATTACAACAAAGTAAATGTATGATATGTATGCCATTTCATAAACTAGTATCATTGAAGACACAGAGATGCCAGTGACCAACAACTGCGGCGAATATTGCTGTGTCGCAAAGAATGCAAACTATTGAGAGAATTAAAAAAAATCCTAATATGTGAAAGGGTAATGTAAGAGGTACAAAGCCTGGAAAAGTGTTGAAAGACAACTATCAAGTAGATACCAATGCTAATCAATCGTATTATCTCATGAACAATAATCACATATTGTAACTGCACTGCAATCAAGCACCTTGCTGAAAGGTTTCAACCCATATGCAACTGGTAAGGTCTTAGTTCTGCAGCTCAAAATATTTTAAACAACACCCGCAAATAGTAGCCTGTGTGTTGCAGTACACACTAGCCATGAAATATATTGCTAGTCATGTAAAAGACTAGTGTTGCTTAACTTCGTCTGAGTTAACGTGGTTAATAAAAAATATTGTTATATACAGACAAGAACAACAATTGGTAATATGGTAAGAGATGGCAGTGTATTGTTACTAAGGTAATGAGATGTGATTCCAGTCGATGAGGTGATGGTTTGATGAAGTAACCCTGGTCTGAGATGGTCGGCTGGAAATTGTATAATACTAGACGTAGCAGCCTGGGTTGAAACGCTGCACAAGCATGGATTACGTGGAATTTGGCAACTGTTCTTTCCTTAAACTTAGAGATGACACACTTCATGCATATACATATGTACTTCCAATCCTCTGGGAAATCAAACCTCCCGTTAGGAAGAACAGGTTGAATACACCTTCTTTCTTTAGAACTGAAGCGAAAAGGGGTCTATTTGTGTGTCTAAAATTCTTTCACTTAAAACACGACATGAAGATAATCAGTCTTAAAGCTGGAATTAACAAGAATATTAGAGATGCATTTGTTGATACTATAAGATGACCAGTTGAGGTCTGGATACATACATGCCCTATGTTAGTGTAGGAATCAAGAATACAGCATAGGAATCAAGATTACAGCAAACAGATGCTAGTTTTACTTTGAATTTGTGATGAACGTAACTGCACAAATGTGTCACCGCTTATTCTATTTTGCACGTTGAAGTACAAGCAGTAGTATAAAGAGATGTCATGCTCAAGGTAAACACGAGACACAAAATGTTGAATCCAAGCCAACCAGTCGAACCGTCGATCTTGCGCTCTCAAGGCAGACACTCTATCCAGTGGGAAGTTGTTCTGTGCTGTTGGATGATGAGAGATTCAAATAAGTAAGTGAGCAAGTTTGCTGTAAGTATAAAAATGCGTGTTTGCAAGGCTTGCTTATTACAGAGGTGGTCACTATGTGGCTGAGATATTGCCGAGGTGACGTTGAATTTTAACTCACTCACTCACTATTACAGTGGTAACGCTGATGATGTGTGGAATCGAGATGAGCTGTAACACCGACCCATAACGTTAAGAGCCCAGTTATGAACTTTCGCAGACAATAATGCTAATCAGAATTACATTATAAGTTGTTCACTGGTCACGTATTTATCTTACCGAACACATTAATGTTAATTTTGAATTGTTTGAAGCACGGGTACAAATCTTTTCGTAGCCATCGCTAGATTTTGCTGACAAGAAAAACAGATTTAGAGTTATCTCCCTTCCATCGATTTGCATTCGCAAAACATCGGTAATTTCCGTACATCATACGTGATTCAATGTTATTCGAGATAAAGAATTACTACCACAAAGTACAGAATGAGTTGCCATTGACAGCGGGGTACATTGAAATGTACCTCGCTTGTAAGCGGGGTACATTGAAAATAATAGAAGAGCGCTCAGCCAATCAGAAAGCGACATTTATGTGTGAGGCAAGATAAATATCAGTATTGGTCCCTATAGTGGTGGTGCAGTGGTTAGAGCGTCCGCCCGGGGAACGGAAGGTCGCGGGTTCGATCCCCGACCGCGTCATACCAAAAGACGTTAAAATATGGTACTTGTTGGCCCCTGCCTGGCGCTCGACATTAATGGGTACAACAAGGACTGGTCGGCTCGGAGTCAGTATAATGTGTCTGAGTGGGGTATTCATGCTTCACTGCGGCATGGTATCTCAGTGGGCTAGCACTATAAACTAGCTTCAGTCTGGGCTAGTACAAGCAGCCGCACGTACACATACACGCGCATGCACGTCGTCATTTGAGCGAAATATTCTCAAGCACGACGTTAAACCCAATTTCACCTCACCTCTCCCTAGAGTGGTGGTCTACCTTCAGTTGTCAGCCTTTTTCTATATTGTATTGTCCTAATCTGAAATCCTATTTTAGAGATATATGCTAGTTTATTTCTTGATATTGTGATATTCTAGTCGGTTTTACTGTCCTTCGATGACAGGTTTTGTTATTTACCATAAATTACTATGTATAACAATTAAATGTTCTCGTCCCGATATGGCTGAAATATTGCCGATGTGACGATAAATTATAACTCACTCACTCACTATTACAGTGGTAACGCTGATGATGTGTGGAATCGAGATGAGCTGTAACACCGACCCATAACGTTAAGAGCCCAGTTATGAACTTTCGCAGACAATAATGCTAATCAGAATTACATTATAAGTTGTTCACTGGTCACGAGGGGGGCAGTGAACAACGTATTTATCTTACCGAACACATTAATGTTAATTTTGAATTGTTTGAAGCACGGGTACAAATCTTTTTGTAGCCATCGCTAGATTTTGCTGACAAGAAAAACAGATTTAGAGTTATCTCCCTTCCATCGATTTGCATTCGCAAAACATCGGTAATTTCCGTACATCATACGTGATTCAATGTTATTCGAGATAAAGAATTACTACCACAAAGTACAGAATGAGTTGCCATTGACAGCGGGGTACATTGAAATGTACCTCGCTTGTAAGCGGGGTACATTGAAAATAATAGAAGAGCGCTCAGCCGATCAGAAAGCGACATTTATGTGTGAGGCAAGAAAAATATCAGTATTGGTCCCTATAGTGGTGGTGCAGTGGTTAGAGCGTCCGCCCGGGGACTGGTCGGCTCGGAGTCAGTATAATGTGTCTGAGTGGGGTATTCATGCTTCACTGCGGCATGGTATCTCAGTGGGCTAGCACTATAAACTAGCTTCAGTCTGGGCTAGTACAAGCAGCCGCACGTACACATACACGCGCATGCACGTCGTCATATGAGCGAAATATTCTCAAGCACGACGTTAAACCCAATTTCACCTCACCTCACCCTAGAGTGGTGGTCTACCTTCAGTTGTCAGCCTTTTTCTATATTGTATTGTCCTAATCTGAAATCCTATTTTAGAGATATATGCTAGTTTTATTTCTTGATATTGTGATATTCTAGTCGGTTTTACTGTCCTTCGATGACAGGTTTTGTTATTTACCATAAATTACTATGTATAACAATTAAATGTTCTCGTCCCGATATGGCTAAAATATTGCCGATGTGACGATAAATTATAACTCACTCACTCACTATATCAGTATTGTTGTCTCTAATAGGAATTGTGAAGAAAATCAAAACGTATCAGTCATGTCTGTCCCGAACCAATGCAGGCGAGATTTTTCTCTTTTGGTGGTTGGGAGTCACAGCGCTGCCAGATGGGTAATGAGTTGGCAGACAGAGACCATTTGTTTGTGACACAAAGCCCATTTCTGAAGTAATGCGCCCATCTGTCAGTGAAATGTTTTATAAGCAATGATTCGTCAGTAATTAGTACTTCATTTCTGTATTCATCCATCTCTCCAGTTAGCTATCTGCATTATATCCATTATCTGACAGATATGTTTCAGATATCTTTCATTCCAGCAAATCACATGCTTTCATCGACCTATCATTTGTCTGTGTGCAGTATCGTCTTTCTACCATCCAATGCGCCTGTAAGTCCCGGGCTTTCATTCATGCTGTACGTTACTGACTCGAAGCATTCTTCAGACTTTATTACAATGATATTAAATTGTTCTTTCTCGTGGGTGGCCGCATTATATAAGGTGGCTTAGATTTTGGATGTGCAATGTTAATGGGCGCCCGGTTATTACCAACGTATGTACATCCGTCATTATTTTGTTGGAATATTGCTGGAAAACAACTTCCTTTCGCGACACTATCAACATAATTTTTAAGTGACCTTCTTGGAGTTTCAGAAACTAGTTGAGTTTCTGTTAGTAGTCTCTGCCGACAAGCATTGGTTGCTGAAGATCAGTTCTACCCCGGATCTTCACGGGTTTCTGATCCAGAATATGTCACCATTTTATAGTGTAAATAATCTAGCCAGGAATAAATTGACTCTTATTGTGAACAACAACACAATGACACCCAAACAAACAAATCACCGAGTCTACCCACCCAATCCATCAGAAACAGTGAAGGTTCAGGTTAGAATGAACCTTCAGTAACCCTTGCTTGTCGTAAGAGGCGACTAACGGGATCGGGTGGTCAGGCTCTCTGGCTTGGTTGACACATGTCATCGTATCCCAATTGCGTAGGTCGATGCTCATGCTGTTGCTCACTGGATTGACTGGTCCAGACTCGATGATTTACAGACCTCCGCAAAATAGCTGGAATATTACTGAGTGCGGCGTAAAACTAAACTCACTCACTCACTCACCCAATCCTTCATTGGCCTTCTCCGACCTGCATGGAGTGTTAGGGAACTATTCTCATCTGGAATCCCCACCTCGCCTTTAGTTTGAGCTGGCCAATGAAGATAAGTCACCACACAGAATAGATCTTGGCTGAGTTCAAGTTTAAGAGAGAATAGCATACAAGATTCTCTGTCTCACTTAAAAATGTCCCAATGGTCTGCTGAAAGTTTCATGTTAGACTTCATGTCAACCATCCAGAAATTTCAAATCATATAAGACACACAAAGAACTTGTGTTCAGAGATGGAAACTGACGTCCTTTTGTTCTAAATCTTTTCCAACAACAGCAGCCTTCCTTTTGGAAGGGAACAAACCACACAGAGACATCAACACATCACAAACACTGGATGTATTTATAAGTCCGCTGAAACAATTTTGAAAGCAAATAGTGCAGGGATAAATCCTTCAAAACATCATGGACTTTCATTGACTTTGGCGCTTTATAAATGCTTATATTATCATTATTATTTGTGTGTCATTGTGACCTGGTGTCTTGGCTCCATTCTGTGATGTAGCTTTAATATTTGACGCACGGACACAACATCCCTTATCCATTCTCACTATGTCTGTTTGTATGAATTCAATACAGTTTGTGCAATTGTGTAACTCTCCGGTTATGAAAAATATTAGAAATATAAATGTTTCGAATCCCAATACGAAAATAGGAACATTTATGGCCACTACATTGGCACACAACGTGGTGCCCTGTGCACGCTTATATAGAGAATCCTAAACGATGTCCTGTGTAATACCATAGTTAAAGCCTAAAGCGAGTTAGATACCAATGCCATTCACGAGTTTCATAAATATGGTATTACACGGGACATAGTTTAGTATTTTATTTATTACTCACCCAACATTAGCAAAATATTATCGAGCAAAGTACTTCTCTCCTAAGAATTCAACGAGTATGATGACTCTCAGCTTCACTGTAAACTTTTAAACAGTGATATCTTCAACGGGTGAGTAATAAATTACGTTTGAGCGACATGTGTCTCAGTTAATGGTAATGGTATAGCCCCAAATCAGGCAAGTCTATAGATATGTTTGTCTTTTTCCACAATATATATTTACAGTGACTAGGCGTGGGAATACGTCGAATCGTACGGCATGTTATGCTAGACAGAAGAAGAGGAGAGCCTGAGTTCCAGATCCACACCTTTCCCATTCCCCTCCGTGAAATATACACAAGAGCGGACGCCATTTACCACGAAGCCCCAGTGTTACAGGCACGTACAGGGTATATTTAGCAGGTACATCATGACTCCAGCAGTCTCGGCCAACAGGGCAATACTTTTACACGCCGAAAATACTGTTCGACGAATCAATATGATGCCAAGTAGAGTACCTGTTAAAAAAAACCAAAACTTTAAAAGTTACAGGACCAAATCTTTCCTGACTATTCCAACACATAAGCAGGCTAACTTCCCAGGTCGTTCATCTAAATCTTATGTATATCAGTATTGGTAGAAGTTTTAGTACCAATAATTTATAGTGGAAAGAATGGAGTTTTTAAAACAGTTTTACTTTGGTCATTTCCAAGTAATAACTAAGAATTTTACAGCAAATGAACAGATTAACTGGAAATTATTTTCAAGTAGTTAAGAATTTAGAAGCAGTTACTCTAGCCATCATTTTAATGCATTCTAAATACATCCACACTGTTATCTCTACGGTCAACTTTACACCAAGGACAAAAACGTGAACATATTTTATTTATTAGATTAACAATTCTAAATCACGGCAGTTCCTTTTAAGATGTCCAGTTTCTGCTGACAACCACGGGGGCTAGCCTAGTCGGTTTTGCCTGCAGGTAAACACACACTCCTGAAAGGATTTTTCCAAAGTTAATACTTTCGTAAAGGAGCGGTCCAGCAATAAACATTTTTATAGAACCTGATTAAATTTCTCTAAACGGAGATTATTGGCGTCCACATGCAGTTACCATTGGCTATATTCTATCATGCCATGTACAAAGCCCGAATGGATTTACACAAAGCCTCAGGTTTTCTGTAAACGTCTCCTTCCTCCATCAGATTACTGTTTTGGACCACTTTCAACAGATGCTGCACTGGCTTTACAAAAGAATCCTCTAATGTAGGTGTTTTGCAACTAATGCTCCCATCTGTATCTTCAGATGTACGTATGAGTGACTATTTGTACTACTTCGTTGATGCCTACACAGTGCTGAGTCGAAGGATGGTTTGGATGTATGTTTAGATCCAGCTGGAACGGCTTTTAGTTTGGACGGATCCTTGTCAACAGTACAGTAACAGTAACTGTGTAGGTTCTCAGCAGTAAACTATGTTACAGCCACGGTGAACATGTAGAACATAATGGTGTAGGTTCTCAGCAGTAAGCTATGTTACAGCCATGGTGAACATGTAGAACATAATTCTGTAGGTTCTCAGCAGTAAACTATGTTACAGCCATGGTGAACATGTAGAACATAATTCTGTAGGTTCTCAGCAGTAAGCTATGTTACAGCCATGGTGAACATGTAGAACATAATTGTGTAGGTTCTCAGCAGTAAACTATGTTACAGCCACGGTGAACATGTAGAACATAATGGTGTAGGTTCTCAGCAGTAAACTATGTTACAGCCACGGTGATCTTCTCTTTCTTGTCGATGACCCTCGAGCGTTTGAAAGATCATCAGCAAAATTATGCATATCTGTATTTTCTTGACGAGAATTACATAAGAGGATTATAGACTAAAATGGAGGCGACCTAGAATGACGCTGGAAAATAAAATAAAATAAAACCCCAACGCAGTATAATAACCAGTGTCGTTTGAGGCCATTGAGAGTAAAAGTGAAACTTATAGGAATGGCTGACTGACAACCATTACGTCCATATATAGCTAATGGGTTCTTCAATCGACAAGAGATGACATCCTTTTTGAAGATTAACATCCTGTATTATTAGCGTAACAATAAGAATGACGCAATATACACCAGCAAAGTATAGCTCAATTAATACCTTACGGCTGGGCAGCGCTAACAGTGAAACCTGTCTGCGTTATTGATGAAAAAAACTGTTTGTTATGAAAGGACTAAGCTCCGTATTCTGAACTTTTTAGAAACTGGATATTTGTACATTTGAATTCAACAGTGTATCTCTCTCTATGTTAGTTTGTGGTGACAGTATACATAACAAATAAAGTTACTAAGCATTGATTTAACAGAAACAATCAGACACGCCCATATATGACGTCATTAAGCTATTGTTTGGAGTAATATGTTAACGTCGATGTTCCAGTGTCAAAGTGATCATGCAAAGAAGTCTATGGGTCCGAGTACTCAATGCTGACGCTGTTTCCAGTGATATGGTTTATGTATCTTTGTGCAACTGTTTCAGATGATGTACATTATCCTCAAATGAAATATATGCAAACAATGATATTCGTTAACAAACATGAAACGTGGTTTGTCTGTCTACTGTTAGGCAGTCTGGGTACGTGGACATACAATCAAACAACTGCCATCCATCACTTCACGTTTTGTTACCACCAAAGATTGGTAGAGACCAATTCTGATCCGGAATCTTAAGATACTCCTAGGACTATTTTGAAGGTGATGGGGACAGATTTGAGCCAGGGACCACGTAGAGACGGTGTCATGCCTGACTCTTTATCAACATCATTGTACCAGTGTCCCTTTCTCTCTGTTTGGCAGATAACAGTGGCATGTTTTATTTGACGTCTGTACTCCTCTTATAATAGAGGAATCTTGTGAGCTTTCTGTGCACGTTCTTCAGCTGTGAACCACCTGTATTTCCAATGGCATGAAGAAAGTAAAGTTACAGGGAATGCAGACTAAAGCGACTGTTGCATCCGTCCTATGATTGATTTTGGTAGATTACAGTGTGTTGGATTCAACATTGTGATAAATTGTATGTTTGAGTACTAGTATATTTTACTTGTCAGTGTTTCTAAAAAAACAGTACCTCATTTCCTAAATGATCTTTGCATCGAGCGTTGTTTAATACTGTACATATAACTGGAAATATTTAACTGAACCATACAAATCTGTTACTCAACACACTGATGATACGTAATCGTTTCACAGCCTCACAACAAGCTCATACAACAAGCATGAGTTTTTTTGGATCAGTTCTTAATTGGATTCCCCACATGTCTTGTAATGGTTTAGTATGAAATAGGCGTTATTCGCTCATCTAAGAGTAAGTAGCTGGGATGAGATCAAGTGCTCGGTTCATGACAACACGTACTTAATAGGAAAATATTTAGGAATAGTTCTGTTGTATTTGCCCACATGGGGCACACTGGTATCGAGATCTAGGAAAGCGATATGCCCGAATGTCTTCAAAATGGAGCATAACGCCAGTGGTTAAAGAGGTTAATCTGGCCTGTTTCATCATATAATATAGTACACCCAATGTGCAATTCTGTTCACGGAGAGAACAGGGCAACCGTCCATGCCACAAGCCGCCATTTGGCTGGAAATGTGTTTGCAAAGCGAGATTTGGCATGGTTATTAACTGATTCTCAAGTCTTATTAGGATCAATACGTACATCCCCCTGTGTTCAGAGTTGTCTAATAACCATAGTGAATCAATTTTCCAGGAATTATTCCTTCATCGAATCCTCCCTCAGGAATAACGCTCTCAAATGAAACAGGGACATGATCGACTTCAGCGCCAAAGGAAAAATCAGAAGGATATTACAAAGCGTAAATTTGATTCGAGTAAGGGTTTGGAGACCAGGGCGACAGGATGAAGAGTTGGGTTGTCTGTTTCCCAGATACAGATGGTGGCAATTGTCATCTGCGGGATGGTGGCCTAATGGATAAGCTCATCGAATTCCGGAAGTTTCTCAACCTGCTATGTCCACTGGCAGACGCATTATATGGTGTTCACGGATCTGTCAGATTACCCACAGAGTCGATACCTCCGTGTTAATAGTTCCTCTCCTCTGGAAGTCTGATCAGTTGCCCATGGGGTGGAACATGTGTATGTTGGACGTGACTAGTAAGGGCTGATGTAAATATGACGAGAAATGTCAGCTGTCAGCAATAAAGAATCCAGCAGCATTCTCGTGAAAAGAGCACTGGCTAATTTTCGAAATTAGTTTTAAAAGTGGTTTTACAGGCCAGATGTCGCGTGGCGGGAACATTTTGCGGCGTAAGACAACAAATAAACACTTACGTTTTATTACGAGAATTTTACCCGTTTGGCGAAAAACTGTTGTCATCATTCATTCTCACCGCTATTTTGCATTTTACGATGAATTGAACTTGTTCAACTTGAACTTGAGAGGAATTGTTGTCCAGTGTTGACGTTTGATGCCAACAAGAAAATCAAAGGAATGTGACCAGAGGAAAGTCTGCAACATCATAGCTACATCACATTGGCCTCTTAGAAAGGCGTTGGTAAATAGGCACTGGAACCCGCACTATCAGCGTTACGAAGACACACATTTAACCAAATCCGCCAGGTTAACAAACCGAACTCAATTTTAGTGGTTTCATACCAAAAGCACAGAAGACTGGGAATCTATACCAAACTGGAATTCCCCACAGGCGTTCTTTCCAATGAATGGTTTCCAAAGATCACTAGAGCCCAACCAATTGATCTGATCAAATTGGCGTTTATCATTTGGGTCACGTGTATTGCCGATATTTCTCTATAATGTACTATAAACACATCAATATATTTAACAGTGCAGCTATCATGATATCATACATGGACCATGACTTTTGGTTAAAAGTGAGGAGGCAGAACGTCCACTCAACAACTCTTTTCTTGGGTAAAAGCTGATGGAAAACAGTTTGCGTCCAAGATTTCTAGGAACGTGCTTTGTGCATACAGTCAATCGTAGATATTTTTGTCGTCATATTTATCAAATATTTATTGAATATTAAACGACGGTACAACGGAATGCCCAAAAGTGAAACTGATTATATTAACAAAAAGTTCTATTTGGATGTGAAGAGGAAAATAGCTGTGAAAATTATAAGAATGGACCTCGAAGATCGCCCATGTGTAGATCGCTACCAAAGGGGTTTTACATGTATGTAAAAGTCTCATCTATGTAAAAGGTTTATCGATGAGTATTGATTCATACAGGTTGATATTGATGCGTTCTGTTGCAAATGATTTATCCGTGCTATTTTCCAGATTATCCAGCATGTCCAGTGATAGACAAGATCCAGTATATGGATGGCTGATTTATTTAAATATCATTTGTTGACATCCTTTACTAAGACTATCTATATTTTAACCAAAGTAATGCTTACTTTAATAGTGTTTTATAAACATCAAGTGAGCACTTAATCCTTTCTCTTTTATTAAAGGTAATGATCACTTCGTTTGAGGAGACGTGTGGTCTCAATTGACACATTTATAGCCTCATATCAGACCAAAATCAGAACAATCACCCTCAGCTATACAACAACGCCCCTAGTGATCTATTAAGCACAAGGAGTGACGGAAGATAAGGGCTTGGCATCAACTTAAATATACCCTAGGAATGTTGTCTTGAGAGGGGCGGTGGGTAGCCATGATGTTATGTGTACAGCGGTCGTCCGTCAC